TGATGAGGTTCAACAAGGACAAGTGCAGAGTCCTGCACTTAGGACAGAAGAATCCCATGCACTGCTACAGACTAGGGACCCAGTGGCTAGGCAGCAGTTCTGCAGAAAAGGACCAAGGGGTTACAGTGGACAAGAAGTTGGATATGAGTCAACAGTGTGCCCTTGTTGCCAAGAAGGCTCACGGCATTTTGGACTGTATAAATAGGAGTATTGCTAGCAGATCGAGGGAGGTGATCGTTCCTCTCTATTCGGCATTGGTGAGGCCTCATCTGGAGTACTGTGTCCAGTTTTGGGCCACACACTACAGAAGGGATGTGGGCAAATTGGAAAGAGTCCAGCAGAGAGCAATGAAAATGATTAGGGGGCTGGGGCACATGTCTTACGAGGAGAGGCTGAGGGAACTGGGGTTATTTAGTCTGCAGAAGAGAAGAGTGAGAGAGGATTTGATAGCAGCCTTCAATTACCTGAAGGGAGGTTCCAAAGAGGATGGAGTTTGGCTGTTCTCAGTGGTGGCAGATGACCGAACAAGGAGTAATGGTCTCAAGTTGCAGTGGGGGAGGTTTAGGTTGGATAGTAGGAAACACTTTTTCACGAGGAGGGTGATGAAGCACTGGAATGGGTTACCTTGTGAGGTGGTGGAATCTCCTTCCTTAGAAGTTTTTAAGGTCAAGCTTGACAAAGCCCTGGCTGGGATGATTTAGTTGGGGATCGGTCCTGCTTTGAGCAGGGGTTGGACTAGATGATCTCCCAAGGTCCCTTCCAGCCCTGATATTTTATGATTCTATGAAGGAAGACTCCCATGCACTGCTACAGGCTGGGGACAGACTGACTAAGCAGCAGTTCTGAAGAAAAGGACCTGGATTACAGTGGATCAGAAGCTGGATATGAGTCAACAGAGTGCCCTTGTTGCCAAGAAGGCCAAAGGTATAATGGGCTGTTTGAATAGGAGCATTGCCAGCAGATCGAGGGATGTGATTATTCCCCTCTGTTCAGCACTGGTGAGGCCACACCTGGAGTGTTGCATCCAGGTTTGGTCCCGCCACTACAGAAGGGATGTGGACAAATTGGGGAGAGTCCAGCAGAGAGCAATGAAAATTATTAGGGGGCTGGGACACATGACTTATGAGGAGAGGCTGAGGGAACTGGGGTTATTTAGTCTGCAGAAGAGAAGAGCGAGGCAGGATTTGATAGCAGCCTTCAACTACCTGAAGCGGGATTCCAAAGAGGATGGAGCTCGGCTGTTCTCAGTGGTGGCACTATTTCACTAGGAGGGTGGTGAAACACTGGAATGCGTTACCTAGGGAGGTGGTGGAATCTCCATCCTTAGAAGTTTTTAAGGTCAGGCTTGACAAAGCCCTGGCTGGGATGATTTAGTTGGGGATCGGTCCTGCTTTGAGCAGGGGTTGGACTAGATGACCTCCTGAGGTCCCTTCCAACCCTGATATTCTGTGATTTTATGGTGAGAGACTGAGCAGGGACGTAGTGGCACTGCTAACACCTGTACTGCATGGGGGCCCAGAGAGGGACCAGCCTTTGGGTCCCTCTGGCCCTGTGTGGCAGCAGGTCTGTCAGAGTGTGTATTGCCATTAACGTGTGCTCTTGATGATGGTTTTTCCCCCTCCCCCAGCACCCTCTGGTTTTCCATGTCAAAATAGGTCAGCCCTGTGGCCCTAGTACAGAATCAATGCTGCTTGCCTTGATTCTAGCGTAAGCAGTGTCAGGATGAGCTACACCCTGACATCTGGTGGTGAGGTGTGGCAAGTTGTGGAAAAGAACTTCAGGGGCTGATCTCATTTGCATAGGCACACCCACCCCTCCTAGAATGAGACCATAGCTGCCCAAATGGTCACTTTGGCTGCTGTGGGATCCCCAGTGTCTCTGTTATTGGGGCAGGAAGAATAAATTGTTATTACCCTGATTATGGGAACTGTGCTTGGAACTGTACTTGGCCTTTTGTTATGATGGAGGGATTCACCATCAACTAAGTAGCACTCGCTAGGCAAGGGTCATGGGTTCCAAAACTCTGTGAATTGAGAGAGGCTGGGGACAAGTATTAATACTTAGTAGCATGGGCCTTTTGGTGAGGGCCTTACATGCTAATTACACTTCCTCCTCTCTACACTGTGGAATATCAGAGCTGATTTTGATTTTATTAGAAGTCTAGTTACAGGCTGCTGAGCTGAATTCACTTTGGGCTAATGGTGCACTGGGGCTCCCCTACTACAAGCTGAATTCACTAAAGAGCTGAAATCACTGAGTGTTGTGTTAAGTAGTGGGGGAGCCTGAAGATATATTGTGGAGCAGTTTGCAGGATGGCTGGAGTGCCTTGTGGACAGGATGGTGAAGCAGTTCGACGTGGAGCAGTTTGTGGACGGCAGGAGCTGCTTGTGGGCCGCGGAGCTGAGCGAAGGAGTTTGTGGGGTGGCTGGCGGAGCGCAGCAGAGTGAAGCTATGGAGCTATGGGGCAGTCAGCTTCAGCTCATGTAAGGTGCCTCTTACCCCCGTCCCATTTCCACCCAGGTTGGGAGGTAAAGCTCTGCAGATAAACTTTTGAACTCTGGGGCTGCCCTGACCAGGGACAGAGACTTTTGGGTCTTTGGACTTTTGGGACTTTGGGTGATTTGGGGTTGCTGGACTCAAGAACCAAAGGGAAAGGGGCATGCCCCAATTTGCTTGGGGTGGGTTTTTTGCTCATGGGCTGTGTTATGAATCCTGTTGGTGGTGTTTCCCCAACATAATGCCACATTGTTTCTCTCTGTTATTAAAAGGCTTTTTGCTACACTCAGACTCTGTGCTTGCGAGAGGGGAAGTATTGCCTCTTGGAGGCGCCCAGCGGGGGTGGTATGTATTTGTCCCAGGTCACTGGGTGGGGGCTCGAGCCGGTTTGCATTGTGTTATTGGAATGGATCCCCTAGATACTGAACCCGGCCCTTGTTGCTGCCAACTCTGACGGGCAGAAGGGTTACACTAGGATTTATCCCTGTTAGCGTGTGGTGTAAATACCCCTCCTGCGAGTGTTCCTGTGGGTGGAAGCAGACTTGCCCCCTCAGGTATCACAGGGTGCTGATAGCGGCTGGAAAGGGCCTCTCTTGCGATCAGTGCTGGGCTGGATGCAGGGTGGAGTCTGTGTTCCAGGTGCCCAAAGGCATTTTGGACCTTAGCTTTGAATACACCCCTAAGATTGTAGTTACAGCAGGTGGGCACAGGGTGGCACTAACACACCATGTCTCCCAAGGGCACAGTCTGTTCTGGGGGCAACCTGCAGCCAGAGAGGGGGTACTGCTGCCCTTCCCCCCGTCAGACCTGATACACTGACTCTGGCCTGTGTTTGAAGGCACACTCGTGTCTAAGTTAACACACAGCACCGACCCGGGAGAATGAGCTAGTGGTTGAGACTGGGACCTGGGGGTGCAATGCTGGCTATTGGCTAGAGCAAGAGAGATGGGCCAGCAGGCCCTCTGGGTTCTAGCATTGGCTCCGGCACCGACCTACTCACTCCACTGAGCAGCGGCAGAGTCTCTGTATGTCGAGCTGCCAACTCCCCTTTCTGTTAGATTCCGACTGCTCAGCGCTTGCCTGGCCCCTGGACGGTACCAAGTGTGAATAAAACAAAACAGAACCTTGCCATGGCTTTTCCTGCTCCTTCTCACTCTTGCCCGCTCACTAGTTTTGCAGACTCTTTAAATAATAAGACCCCCCCACACACACACACTGTTGCACCGCTATCCCCACCTTCTGCCTGGGTTGGTAGATTTCCAGGTCAGAAAAGCGGGTCCCTCCTGCAGCATCTCTCCATCATTCACCCAGTAACCGCTGCGTCCAGTCCAGTTGCCTGGGGTCAAAATAGAGCATACCCTTTAGAAAGGCCTTGCTGCGAAGACCCCACAGGATGGAGAATCTGCAGCTACCCCCACGTCCAGCACACAAAAGCCCTGTGTCCAAGGTGAGAAATAAGCTGCAGCCAGCTTCTTTAGTTAGGGGGAGGCAACCACAGGGGTCAGCAGAGCTCATGGTGCACCTAGCTGCTGAGTCAGGAGCAGGCTTTCAGCCATGCCAGCTGCCTCGGCTCAGCCATGGCAGGGGCACGGGCCCACTGCACCTGGTGGGCAGGAAGGAGAGGGCTGGGCTGTGGGCAGGTCAGCTGCTGAACTCACTGCATGGGTGAGGGGCCATGGGCTGTTGCCCTGCACGCCTCACCATAGGATGGGTTTGCTTCCATTTCATCCCTCTGCCCTAGTTAGACAGCAGCACGCCCTTGCCCTAGGGCCATCCTGTTAACCAGCATGGGCTACCCCTGGCGGCTATTACAAGACATTATAGCCTGAACGCTAGAGGCCAAACCAGTAATTCTCCCTCCAACCCCAAATCCACCACCATGCTGAAGTGCAGGTAGCCCCTGCCAGCCAGTTTGCTGGGCTGTGGTCAGCAGTTACACGGGTGAGACCCCCCACAGATGGACCCAGGGTTTCACACAGGATCGCACTTGGGGCGGTTCACCCTCCTGCTGCTCACGCCACCACCGCTACCCTTCATTCTTAGCGCTAGTGTGGGTATGTCTCTCCAGTGCCGATGCAGGCTGACTCATGGTTGCTCCCCATCTCCCCCAGTGATTGGCACAAGTCCAGGGAAAACCTATGTACTCCCACCCCATTCATGGCCAACAGGGATGCCCAGAAGTCTGAAGGACATTCAGTTCCCCCAGCTTTGCTAAGAGCTGCTGCTCTGCAGGTGCCACGGCTGAGCACTTTGCCTTGTCTCAGGGGACGGGGATGGAGGATGGTGAAGTGGGGAAAGATTCCAGGGAAATTCCTTCTAGAACTGCCTGCTTGGAGACATCTGAAACCACGCACCAGCACTGGTACCTAGGAACCACAGGTAGATGTGACATCATGGGGCTTTTCAGGCTTGGGTGTGGTCTCTTGTTAAGGTAAACCAGTCTAGTTGCCCTCCCTCTGGGCTGGGAGCATCCCAAGAAGTCACACATCTACACACTTTTTAAACATTTTTTTCAAAATATACAGTTTATTTACAATTATGTCATGTCTACAGTTTTATGGATAACTTTATTTCAAACCTTTAAATGTCAGCAGTAGACATTAGGGAAAAGCAAGTCATAGGATCATCAAAAGTAAGAGGCCTCTTAGCAATTATATTCATTGGAGTTTAAGTTTCAAGTAGCCAATGTCTACAAAAAACATTAACAGGATAAATCTGGCAAAAAAGATATTGTACACTGGGTTAGAAGAAGGCAAGACACAAACCTGCAAAACCTTTACCGCTGGCTCAGCTGGGCTCCCTGAGCAACTCCCTCCCGCCCCAGCTGGGATCCCCCCAGATCCCAGCTGGTGGGGTGGGGGTGACTTGAAAAAAGCCCCCTCTGAAGTGATCTGGTCAGAGTCACAAGTGCTACATGCCTCAGATCTTGGAGTGGGGAAAGCAGTACCAGGGCACAGCCTAGTTTGCAATACAAGAGCAGTCATATGAAAATGAGAGAGGCTCCCACCAGGGGTTAGTCAATTGAAGGTTTGGCAAGCACATTAGCAGCAGCTTCCAGACTCTAGGAGCTTATTTAACATCAAGGTCATGAACACTGCATGATGCTTAACATTAACGTCCTGGATTCCTCCCACCAAGCTGGGGGGAGGGGGGGTATTGGATGCCATATGAACACTGTCTAGCAGTCAGTGCGGTCTCCTGGGGGCGAGGACGCTTTGGAGGCGGCTAGCTGCACTTTGGATGCTCTGGCGGCTGGGTGCTCTTTCCCCGAGCTGTGGAGCAAGGTGCCGAATTTGGGAAGGAGACACATGGCAAGGGGACCCAGAGAGCAGCAGGAGACTGCTAGGCCAGCAAGGCAGAGGGAGAGTTAGAGAACACGGCCAGCCGAGGAGGAGCAAAAAGTAGAGTGGGCATGCCTGCAGCAGCCCCAGGAACAGGGAGGGCAGGAAGCCTGAGGCGGGCGCATGTTTGGCACTTCATCTATCAGGGCATGCTGTGCAGCAGATTCCACCCGTGTATCAGTGGCCCACCATGGGGGAGGAGAAGGAAAGTCTGGGGATCTAAGAATCCCCTACCTTGGCAAGTCAGCTGTGGACAGTCTGGCCCACTGTGAGAAAGGCAGAGTTCTCAGGGCCCCCCCCCCAGCCCACTGGCCCCAGCACCAGACGTTAAGCTAGTTCTAAGGGGAGCAAGACTTCTCCTGGAACTCTGCACACTCGCCCGCTGTCATGTGTCTCCAGGACGGGACTGGGCAGAGGTGGCACTCGCAGAGAACACAGATGGCACCTCTGCTCCTGTAACATCTGGCTCCCACAAAGAGCAGGGACTAAGCCAGATGCTTCTGAACCAGCCAGCAGCACAAGGGATCTGTGCTGAGCAGCAGATGCAGAGCAACCGTCTTGGGGTAGGACCCAGGGGCCAGGAGAGCCCAGGCAAAGGCTGCCGGCTCCATCACTTGCTTTTTGGCCAAATGACCGAGCCGTACAAGCCCCTTCTCATTTCCCTCACCCCTCTCTTCCTGCCTTACCGGAGGGGACAGGTAAAGGCGTGGAGCTGAGAGCCAAGGGGAAAGCGGAGAGGAAAGTTAAAGACAGCACCACTGCTTTCCTCTTCTACGAGGGAGCCAACAGCCCAAAGGCATGCCACAGCACTGAGTGCCCATTGGGGAGTCCCAGCCCCCCACCCAGGGGTCACTCGCTCTGTGTCTGTGCTCAGCTGCCAGTGCCAGCCACTGGGCAGAAAGGGCAGGGCTAATGGAGGCAAGAGACAGCAGGTGCTGCCCAGCCCGGACGGAGCTGGAAGGGCAGTTCCGGCTCCACAGGCCGTGCGGTGGCCCAAGAGCTCAGCCGGGTTCAGAGGGGCCCCCAGCGGCTCCTGGTGTCACCGGCATCCATATTCCAAACACCCCATCCAGCCAGAAAGGACACCGCCATTCTGGAGCCCCAGAGGAAAGCGCATGGCCCCCCAGTTGGGGAGGTCAGATGGGAAAGGAGGGGGTTCTGCTCCCAGCAGGCCCTAGGGCGGCCATTCACTGCAGCACCCTCCTCCTCCCCTGGGCTCAAGGACTCCTAGCTTCCAGCGGGGCTGGCCTGGACAGGCAGTGTCCTTCACTTTGGCTGTTACAAGGATTTGAGTTGGGGCAGGGAGAAGGAACATCCTACCCTGCCCCAACAAACCCGACAGACAGAGGGAAGGGACCTGAGCTGGGGCAGAAGCCGGAGTATCATTACTGCAATTCCTCTCCCGCTGGCCACCATGTCCAGAGAGCCTCCAGCCATGGGCCCCTCTCCACTCGGACACCAATGCAGGAGATGTGTCAGACTGGCAGTGCAGCGAGCTGGGATACTCTGCCCTCTGGAGGGCAGGCAACCCCCCAGGAAGAGGCTGGATCTCCTGGTGCTTTGGCACACGGTGGAGAGCAGGGGGACGACAGACTGGCTGGTTCCAAGGTGGGAGGGTGTCGCAGGCACGATTTTGCCATGTGGCACCAAAGCCAAAAGCTTTGTACCCAATGCACGTGTGTGCTGGGCAGGCGGGATTTTGACTGCACAGCCAGTGCACTGGGGAACAAATGGCAGCACACCTCCCACCGGCCCTGACTGCAGAGCAGGCAGTGAAGCTGCAGCCCCACCCCCTCCTCAGTGTATTGTCATGCTTTACTTGGAATTAACAAGCCCTCAGCGGTGGGGCCAGCCCCTGGCATTTGGAGAGCTGAAGCGTCTATCCCCTCACTCCAGTGCCAACAGCTGGGCTGCGTGTGCCTGCCTGCCAAGTCTTCCCCTAAGGCCCAGACTTCCCTTTCCCACCTGTTATGGGGAGATGCCGCCCATAGAGAATAAAGGTCCCAGCATGCAATGCTTCCCCTTGACCAGAGCCAGGTCAGCACTGGGCCAGGACAGTCTGATGTTGAGTGCAGTGCATCATGGGATCCGAAGTCTCCCTGGCTGCAGCCTGCTCTGGTGTTTACAAGGCAGGTTGCTGGGATAGTTTAGATGCACCTCTTGGCTTGGCAGTTAGTTCTTGTCCCCACTCCTCCCTCCCTCCTTGCTGACGAGCTCAGAGCAAAAGAAACCCAGAGCGTTTACACAGCAGCCACTTGTCTCCTGGCAGACTCACTGCAAAAACACAAAGTTGCTCCTCCACACTGAGTGGTGTGACAACCTTTCAAGCATCATTAGAGAATGCTGTGCAGATCCCTCTTGGGACAAATACCTGCCTTTACCTCCCAGGAGCCAGGCAGAGTGCCGTGAGGTTGAAGCGACAAAAGCCAGCAACACAGGGCAGTCTTCTCCCTCTGCGGTCAAGGGGCTTTTACTCCCAGTCATTCAGTTCTACAAAGGTGGGTGCCCTCCCGACGTCCTGCGGCTGGTGGAAAGGGAGGTGGCAGCGTGATGCACCAGGGACACGGGAGCCAGATGCCAAGCGGGGGAGCCATGGATGTTAATCCTCTTCCTCAAAGGTTTCCTCCGGGATTAGTGTTTTAAATGGACGGTCCCAAAATTTACTAGTGATGCCAAAGCCTTGGGGGAAGAGGCAGGAGAGGAGAGAGAAGAGAGAGAGGCTGTGTGAACTGGCATTCAAAAAAGAGTCACCTGACCTGTCTTATATGGTCCTCGTCATTTCTTGTCTGAGCACCTCACTGTCATTAATGGAGCCCGAGTGGTGGGGAAGGGTCCCCATTGTAGAGCCAGGGAGGCCAGGATAGAGTTAGGAACTCGCCCAAGGTCCCGCTGGGGCTGAACTAGGAATTGTCGCATTAGGACCCCTGCCCACCCCGCCTCAGTCAGTGAGAGCGGAGACGCCCAGGGAGCACAGACACCTGGGTCAGTGTATGGTGACCCCAGGCCAGGTGCATTCTGGGTGGAATGCCGCTGCTCCTCAGAGGTGAATTTAGACTAACTGCAGCCACCAGCGGATTCTGAGGCAAGTAACAACCGAAGTGCTGGGCCGCCAACGCGATGGGAGGGGAGTCAGACCTGCGCGCCTCAGCCCCCAAGTGTGAGCTGCCTAGGAGCAGCTGTCAGTCTGAGCCTTCTCTGACACAGCATCTCGGGGACATTTCCCTCACACTGCCAACTCCCAGGAGCAAGGGGTGAGCTGCCCATGCTGGTGCCAGGTCCCTGTGCATTCCCAGAGAACGGTTACCTGGCACAGGCACTGTATGTGGTGGCTCCTGTTTGGAAAGGGTTTTCCTGGCTCAGGTGGAGGGAGGGAAAACATTATGAAATCGGCTGCATCTCCCGCCCTCCCCCCAACTAGATATTCAGTATCGACAGTCAGGGAAGCTGTGGCAACAAGTGCTCTGCACCAGTCTGTCATGCTAAATTTCCATCCATATCTTCAACTGGGTTTTGTAGTGTTCACTTCCTGCCTAAACTGCTGTGTGCATCAGCTGCTGCACTCTCCCTCAGAGGTGGTTGCATTTCAGTGGTGGGAGAAGGAGCCATGGCTCAGAAAGCTGCATGAGCACTAGTCCCCCCACCAAATGCAGGCATGTCTGAGTGCTGTTGAGTGCTGCTCCAAGGATCATTGCTGCTTTGCTGAACACGGCAGAGCGCTGGGGCACCATCCAGAGTGTTTGCTCATTTTGCATTTGAAGATTAATATTAAATTTAGTACAGATCCTCCCATGCTCCAGGCCCATGAGCCCACTGGGGATCCTGCGTATGTGCGTGGGTTGCTAGCCGGCGTCAGGGTTCATGCCACTGCATCTTCTGTGCCATGGTTACCCACAATACCCAATGAATATTCTGCACTGGACTAGTGCACAGGGCTGGGCCTCCACGCTCCCCACCGCTCCCAGTGGAGCGAGGGCTGTAAGGGGACTAAGGCCTTGCTAATGGGGAGGAATACCTTTGATTTATGGAATTCATTCCATTTGAAAGAGACACTGGTAAGATGCAAGGGAGTTTTTTTAAAACCCAGCACTGGCCTTTGGGGCTCTGCTTGGACAGCGGGAGAGGCAGAGCGTTTCCAGTGAATTGCAGGAGTTCCTGGGGAAAGCTGGAGGGTTTTTAAGCACATTGGTGACTAAAAGCAGCCATGGAATGAGAAGCAGAGGAGGGACCACCTCCCTCCCTCTGGGCCCCAAACGGGTCACCACTAACACAGCCAACCCTTGCCAACCTGAACAACCCAGGTCTCCTCTAGAAACAGCCCCCGACTGCGAGCGCTGCATGGATCAGAGAACCCACGGCCTCAGGAGAGGGGAGGAGCGCAGGGGCCAGCTGCCTGTGGGAGGGGAGCGTTTGCAGCCAATGTCCTGCCGTCAGGACGGCAACAGCTACCCTATGTACAGCACTTTTCTCCTGCCTGTCTGGAGACCTCGGCCCCGCCGCAGAGCATGGCATGAGCAGCATGGTTTTAGGGTGCCTGTACTGTGGGGACAGTGTAGCCTTGGGAAAATCATTTAATCCCAGTGTGCCTCAGTTTCCCCATCTGGAAAATGGAGATAACTGCTGCGCTCCTGGGCCAAGGATCACTGGAGAAGCAGAAAGGGGTACCCTGGACCCTGACCTTTCCCCCAGCATGAGGCAGTAGGGATGTGCCTCTCTATCTGCATATCCTGCAGGCAGCTCGGGTAGCGCATCCTCACTGGCTAATGGAAGAGGAAGATGCAGAGAGCCCAGGGCTGGTCAGATAATGCTGGCTAGGCAATGCCCGAGGATATAAGTCTCATACTCCATGCTGCAGGCTACATCTGAGCTTTAATTTCTATAAGAACCTTTCACCCTAATTGAAACAATGGCAGGCTACATCTACAGTGCACACCACCAGCGGCCGCAGCACATGGGACATATGTAGCTTCACACCACAGCGTGGATGCATCTTGTTTGTCACTGCGGCGTGTAGCTACATGGGTCAGTGAAAGGCTTTGGCATGGGGGAGGCAGCGAGGAAAGGCTCCGGCTCCGGCACCGGCAGCATCTACATTGCTCTTTGTTCGTGGACGAGTGGGGCATGCAGTGTATGTACTCGACACATCCCTATAAAGGGTGCTCAGAGGAGACGTAACCTCAGAGCTTTAACAAAAATTTGTTAGAGGATTGAGTCCTTCTCCCACCACTGAAATGCAGCCACCTCTGCGGAAGAGTGCAGCAGCTGATTCACACAGCAGTTTAGCAGGAAGTGAACTCTACAAAAACCCAAGCGAAGTTACAGGTGGAAATTTAGCACGACAGACTAGTCACCCAAAGGGCTATTTTCACTGGTCGTTGGGGCCAACACCCTGACCCCTGCCTAACATTTAAACAGGCGCTTTAATTACCAGAAGCAGTCAGGACTTGCATTATACCCCATCAGAAAGGCTACAAGCCCAGTGGGAGAGTGCCCTTAGCACTGCTGCATTTTAGTGCCAATTCAGAAAGCAGCACCTACTTCTTAAAACCTTTGGACACACTTCTCAGCACCTAGATTTTCCCATCCACATACCTGTCAAGCCCTTGCAGAGCTGCAGCTGACTAGATGGCTTAATTTCTAACAAAGAGGAACATTATTGAAATCCACCCAGCCTCTACATGACCATAGCTTCATTTACAGGCTTAAAATCCTCCCAAGTGCAGAAGTCACGGCTGAATGCACCACTTTAACTCCGCCCTCTTACACCAATAGAATCACACAAGCTCAACTTCACCTCGCATACTAGGGCTCTGGTAACAAGGAAACTTTCTACAACTTCAGGTACACGTGTGCATCTGTGCACAGGCCCTGTTACCTATGTCTGCACACACAAGGGAGTAGCTAAGGCTTGTTTCAAATGTAAAAAGCTCTGAAATAGGATTCTTGGTAGACTAGGAAGCATCTGTTTGCAACTGATTCAAATTAATTTTTTATATATGTTTGTATGTAATTGTAGAGTATTAAAACTGCACATTTAATAAATCAAAGTAAGTTTTACGACTCAAGTACACAACTTGTCTTAATTTTTAACCATGTGCTCATATACTGTGCAGTATTAAGACTATTTCAAGGCACATACACATGGGGCAGAGTTAAGGCTCAGTGGAGTCAGCCATATGCACTGGAATTTCCTGAGCTTGATTTCAGCCCTGATTAACGTGAATCAAGAGGGGGAAAAAGCATCCCACGTTTTCTTCACACGTCAGACAGTACCTGGAGGAAAACGGACTGACAAGAGAACGTACCACCACCATTTGCAAACCCAGGTTGGGGTGTGGTATATGTGTCTGTGCCATAACCACCAGTCTGGAACGCCTCCACTGAGTCCGATTCAACTTCTCCGCTGCATGTGTAAATCTCCTGGAAACTCAAAACGGGGCCCATGCTTTTAATCAGATGTGCCTAACTTCAGGTACCCACGGCCACATTTAGGCACCACAATAAGTGGTTGCTGAGAACTTGCAGCTTTTCTTGACCCCAGTAGGGGCTGCCAGGGCTCAGAATTTGTGAGGATCAGGCCACGTTTTTCTTTGCCTAAATGTGGCTTTGGGTACTGAAAGTTAGGCCCCTGTGATTAAAAGCATGGGGCCAGTTTTAAGTCTCCAGGAGGTTTACGCACACAGGCGTGGAGCTCCAGTTGACTCAAGGGAGAAGAGTAAAGACTGGGGGGGGTTGGGAGATGAACAATGGTTCAGAGACACGCCATCCCCAGCCCCAAGGCATGGATGATGCAGACCTAACGAGCACAGTCTGACCTTGGCTCAGCTTTGTGGTCTCAGGCTCCCCGGGGGTCAGTGGTGTTCGCTGGCCGCGTGTCTGTTCCGAGGCACAGCGGGAAGGAGGGGAAAGGGGCAGGTACCTGATTTTTGGTGTTCGAAGTGGTGCTTCACATGATAAGCCTTCAGTCCATACAGGTAGGTGCCTTTCTTTGGCGAGCCATAGTGCAGGTAGTAATGAGTCATGTCGTAGACGACGTAACCAAACAGCCCGCCAACGAACATGGAAATGCCAACTGCTTCAGGCAGGAGCAGGCGCAAGAGAGTGTAGAAAAAGCCAATCACCAGCGATGCAGGCACGGGAGGGAAGACCAGACGGGAGCTGTCGAATGGAGACTGTAAGCAGAGGAGCACAATGGGCAGGGTGAGTTCCTAGCGCGTTTAAGGAATCCAGGTGGGATACTCTCCTGGTTCAAGTGACCCAGAGAGAGGGGGGGCAATATGAACAATTAGCATCAGATCAGAAGCTACAAACACATCTGCCTCTGCTCCTGTGGTCTACAACCAGCTACGGTGGAGCCCCTCACCGGTCAAAGGAGCTGTGTTTAAGGCATCATGAGGGAGCTTCCGAGCAGCGTCAGAAGCGTCTACTAGCGCCTGTTGCAGGTGCAGGGGTGGTAGATTGGCTACGCTGGCCAGCTCCCAGGGGAAGCTGATTTGGATCTTGGCCCCTCCGCCTTTCAGGGGGTTAGGGTTCTTCTAGCTGCAGCAGTGGCCTCTTCTAAAGCTACTCTGCCACCATTCCCAACACTAACAAAGCTAGAGGTTGCCAAGGCAGCTCAGGTGCCCACAGAAGGGTAAGTTTGTTAAAAGCTACTTTTAACCATCTAAGTCTCAACTTGGTCAGACCCCTACCTGGTGCAGACTGGCATGGCTCCTTGGAGTTCAATCGAGTGACGTTGATTTCCACCAGCCAAGGGGCTGGCACTGCATTCATGGATTTGGGATATTAAATCACAAATCAACTCGCCCAACTTCTAGTTATCCGACAAGACTCAAGGCTTCCGCATTTCCCCATCACTAGGGCTAAAGCATCTACTGTCTTAGAAGGGACATGGTGCCTCACCCTGCTTTGAGTCATTGAGAAACAACCCTGCGTCTGCAGGCTTCACAGGTGCCAAAGCGTTTCCAGTCACCATTGAGAAACTCCAGGCAAACGCCCCTACATCTGGAGTCCTGCTGCATATGGCTTGAAATGCCACGTGCCAAGAGACTGGCAGGTTGCCACTGGAGCTGGCCCTGTGCGTGTCTAAGCACGGCTCCGCAATGTCAGTCAGACCTTGAATTTTAGCTTTCGTGGCAAAACCGTTGCTCTGGGCAAGTGTAATAGCACTGGGCGGTGCTCCTTTTCTAAGCAGAGAGAGGACACGAGTCACTGACATGCATGACTAGGCTCTACAATTCCCATGCCCGAGCCTGTTATCTCCAGAGATCCGTTGTGCCACTCCCTACATTGCAAGCAGGGGTGAGCACTACTCACCTTGTGATGCTGGCCGTGCAACAAGAAATGCAGTGTGATGAGATAATAGTTACTAGCAGGAGGCTTCATGTGGAAGAGAAACCGATGGATGAGATACTCTACTAAGGACCACAGACACATTCCCAGCACGAAGATGAATGGGAAGAAGTACTTGTGCACAGGGATGGAATACTCTACATGACAAGGAGACATGCAGCTATCAGCAACCATGCATCACTACCACTGCTAGCAAGCAAGATAGGGGATCACGTCACATTTACTTTGTACTTCCCAGATTTATTGTATTTCCCCTTTAGCAGCTTCAGACATATCCATCCAGACCCTCTTGGAGAGCCAGGAGTCTCCTCTCCTCTCCCCTGCCAGCCAGGCTCTGTTCCGGCAATAAGCTAGCCTTACTGCTAAAGCCTGCTTCATGGCCATGGGTCATTTCTTGACTTGGCCACTGCAAACACCTCTGGTTTCTCAGTTCTCCACCCTCCAAATGCTGTGGTCAAGATTCTCCTCCTCCCCTTGAGCAGCACTGACCATGTCCACCCGCCCTGTCCCCGGGGCTCAGATGCTTTCAGTGATCTCCATTCCTTCTGCATCTCCTCCTCTCTCCAGACTCTGCCAGCACATCCCATCTCTTCCCTCGCACCCCCTGCGCCCTGCCCATTGCACCCTCTGGCTCCTTCACCCCCTCTTACTTCCTGATACCCCTCGCATTAGAAAGGGCCAGAGCCCCTCTCAATCTGCTTCCAGCAGCAGAACCACCATCTGTACCATGGAGTCTCCCAGCTCAGACTGAACCCCCTACCCCCAAGCCAGAATTTTAATTGAGCAGCTGATGCTTCTGCCATCATCTTCTCTGGGCATTGAAGGGGAAGGTGGCATGGAGGCTGCTGCCAGGCTGGAGCGCTTTCCCATTGTTCCATAGACAGATCTGCCTCTATCAGGACGCCGGGAGCTAGGCAGAGCACATCAATGGGAGGGCTGTTTTCCCATGGTGTGGCTCAAACACGCATCTTTGTATGATTCCCAGTCATTTACTCTGCAGAAGCAAAGCTAGCTCCTTGGGCTGTGTGTGCGGGGGGATGTTCACTGGATTATAGTGAGAGTCCCTAGCACTCGGGCCATGCGGTACCTACCCACTTCCCCACTGAATGCTGCTGTAGTTCGTACTTCTAGTGACACACGCAGCCCTCAGTCTCAGCCTGGAGTATGCCCCCACGGTGCCCCCCAGCCCCGTTCCCTAGGGGATGCTTCCTGCAGACAGCAGTTCTTACTGAAAAAGGAACAAGGTAACCCCCGCCCACCGACACAGACTGTTCAACTTGCTACCAGCTGAGGCCAGGAATCCGACTACTACTGGTCTGACACTTCAGATCTTTAAAATGGGCGTGAGACAAGCCCCTCCTCTTGTGACGGACGACCTGTCACAGATCAGGCCTCAGCCAACGGCACAGAAGACTCACAATTAGCTTTGGGGGCGAGGGGGGGGAAGAAGGGGAGAAAGCCTCAACCCAGAACAAATCGGTTGCCCAGGTGACTCTGCGAATGCGTAGCGGTGCTCTCCCTAACCCAGCTGAGAGCACAGCAGAGCGAACACTGCAGCGGGCGGGGGGCACCAACAGACACACATGAGGAAGTCTGCTTCGCGTCACAAAGCCTTGGCAAGAGCTGCTGCTGCCCCTCCTGGCTGGCTCCTAATGCAGGGCACTTGGATCCTCTCGACAGGCGGAGATCTAGCTACAGGTTTGACTGGACTTCCTGAGCCCTGCGTCACTGGCTGTTTGCGCCAAGCTGTTCCCTGCCTCATGGTCTTTTCACTACAGCTTCATTTCACATCTGCCCTTCTCAGGCTCTGGCTCTTGCCCTGTCCCTGCTCTTTCCATTTAGCTGATCCCCCAGCCCCTAAAATAACAACAATTATGGAATTACCCTGCTCTAGGCTGCCATCGCACTGTTCACCCTGCTCATGTGTTCTAGCCCTTCCCTCACCCGCATTTGCCTGGTCTATTTCGGCTGTAAGCACTGCAGGGCAGAGACTGTCTGCTACTGTGTTTGTACAGCACCTGGCACAGTGAGGGCCTGTTCTTAGCTGGCCCTTGGGCACTGCTGCCATAAACGCGATTGTTCATAACAAAGGCACAAAGGCCGGCTGGAGGTGGGGCACAGGGGCAGCACTTCAAGCTACTTTTGACTAGCTTTTAAAAAAAACAAAAAAAACCCCAAACCCCCCTCGATTCCAAGCTGAAGGGGTCCCTTTAAGACCCCAGCTAACAGCATTTGCCAATGATCTTCTCCAAATGCAGCACCCCCTCCAGCTCACTGAGTTGTACCCGTGCCACCACGGCAGGCTCTGGTGGGGCATGGCCACATGACACCAGGTCAGCCTGCCAAAAGGAGGAGGAGGAGCGCCCCCTCCAGCCTCCCCCTGCTGTTCACCCACCCCTGGCCACAGCCCACGCTGGTACCAAGTAGTATCTCCAAAGGAATGCAGCTCAGGGAGGAAAACAGCACATTGGAAACAAAGACGGCAACATGGTCTAGCTGCAATTGTTGCTGGCAGGAGGGTGGCCAGTGGGGGATTTCACACAAACAAGCCACACACTGTGCGAGGCTTGTCCAGCACCAGCAGCACTGAGGGATGGGCTTGTCGAACAACCGAGCAGGGCTGCAGACTTACAGCGCTGGCTGTTTCTTTTGCTTCTATTCAGCTGCAGAAGTGGGCAGGGATGAGTTGCGAGCAGCATGCCCCACAGCAGGTTAAAGGCCACTGGAGATGGTCTCTGCAGCCCCCAAAGCGCCATAGTTGTGGGTCCCCTTGATTTGGGGGACCCCAAAAAAGTGGAATCTCAGCTTTTATGCAGCTGAATTTCTTGCCTTTTTCCTTGTAAAGATAACTAGACAGTGTCCACGCTGGAATTGTTGCAAACTCCTCCCAGGAGCTTGTCTCCAGTTCCTACTAGGAATAAGGCTATGATTTAATCATGGCGATCACGGCAGTCATGGATTCTGTGACTTAACCGGACCTCTGGGACTTCTAGGACTTCAGGAGGTGGAGGCGCACACCCATGCCCTGCAACTGGGGTTGGCTAGAACCAGGACCCTGCAGCCCCAGTCCCGCGGCTTCCGCCAGGAGCTGCAGCCCCACACCATCCTGGGCTTGGTGGGGGCTGCAGCTGGAGCCGTGCACCCATCCTGCAGCTGCAGCCAGCTCCAGAGCAGTGGCTGTTCCCCCCCCCGGCTGCGTCCCCTGCTGGAACTGGGGCTGTGCCCCTTGCTATGGTGTGGTGGGGGGGAGGCTTGGCCTGTCAGTCCCCCCCACGGGGCTCCATTCCTCCCCCCTACCTAGCCTTGTCCCCCAGTTATTTTTAGTAAAGTCATGGACAGTCATGGGCTCTGTGAACTTTTGCATATTACCCGTGATCTGTCTGTGACTTTTACTAAAAATAACCAAGACTTCAAGTTACAGAGACGCCACTATTTACAGGGTCTGATGGGACTCTACTTGGGTGCCTGCTGCTATTTTCAGCATGGTAGCTCCAGCAGAGTTAGCGCGTGAGTGTTTCCCCAACCTGGAATTACATCTCCCCCCTACTGTGTAGAGGCACCCGGAAGGGCTAGACAAGGTGTTCTAGTAAAGTGGGCCAAAGAGGAAATGGCTTGCATCTTTGCTCAGGATCCGGCCACAGGGAGCTGGATAATGCAGGCCTGCCGGGTGTGTCTGGAGTGAAGCACCACAGGAGCCGAATCTCCTGCAGCCCATGGGCTTGAGCTCGGTAGGAAGCTTTGGGGGCTGGACAGACGACAGAGAAGCGTTGCACACTTGGCACAAGTCACTGGACTGGTACAATATTTTCTTCCTCTTATAGGCCTTGCCCAAAAGCACCACCGTGATGGATGGATTACAGCTGCCCCAGACCACAGCCCCCAGCAACCGGACTTCTGCAGCAAGCCAGTGATCTGGTGCTGCTCACCAGCTGTAACACTTAGCCCAGAGCGTGGGATGGATGCAGGCAACCATGGCTGTGACTGGGTTTCAAGGAGATCGGATGTTATTTCAAAAGCTGTACTTGACAAAAAGGGTTAATTTGCTACTGTTCCATGCAACTAATTGTAGCTTCAAACATGCACCAGTGTGGTGGGGTGGTGGAAAGCAAGCCAGCCAGCCAGCCCCCCATCCCCATGGCGCTGCACACGCACAGATTTGACCCCTTCATGCTAGTGGGATAGCTTGCGCCAAAGTACATGCTAGTGACTCCCATCAGGAAAGCAGGACTGCTAGGATGCAGGTGAGTGCAATCGCCTTTCCGGGGCTTAAGGGACCCGGATTAGACAGGGACCGGTGGAACCGCGCTGGAGTGGAGTACCTGTTGTGAATGACGAGAAGAGTCTGGTAGTTCCCTGCGCAAGAGATGTGTAGCAGAACCAGCTGAGATACAGCACCACGGGGATCCACACCATGATAACGATGTACCTAGAGGGTGGAAGAGAGGAATTCGTTTGAGCAAATTCACAAGCCTTCTCCATGCTCTATGGCAAACTTAGGGCTTGTGCACACTACCACTGGTATTGGTAGAATGTATGTCACTCAGGAATGGGAACAAGCCGCACCCCTGAGTAACGTAATTTACACTGAACTAAGCGCCAGTGTGGATAGTGCTATGTCGGCAGGAGAGCTTCTCCTGCAGACGTAGCTACTGCCTCTCCTGGGAGTGGAGTTCTTGTGCCAGCAGGAGAGCTCTCTCCCATCAGCATCGAGCATCCTCCCCAGATGCACTGCATCAGTGCAGCTGGGCCACTGTGATGTATCTAGTGCAGACTAGCCCTTAGCTATTCCAAACAGGGCACGTACTTCGGGGGATATTTGGGCAGCTGTATCAGTGGCCCCAAAACCAGCGTTCTAGCTGTTCTATACTTCATAGGCCCTCACCTCCTGCTCAGGCTCAACAGAGAGAGGGAGGAGGAGACCCAATTCAAACTATTTGGGAGAAGAGCTTTAGGTGGCAGCCATCCTACATCCTAAAGGAGCAGGCCCTGGTACCAGAGGCTGCTTTGCAGGGGAGTCAGCCCAGTGGCTTGGGCTGTGCACAACTACAGCAGAGACTCAGGCTCAGTGTCCACGCCTCTTGCTTCCCATCCTAGGAATGCTGTGGAGGAAGCACTTCTCATTGCTCTGCAGCTGCTCCCCTTCGCTTCATCTCCTGAGGGGCACTGAGGGATGCGGGAGCAAGTCTCACCATGGTCACTGGACACAATATTGACTGGAGGATAGTAGGTGACAGAGTAGAGAGCGCGAGGGCTCCAGCAACACCTGGATGCTCCAAGAAGCTCCCAGATGGGATGTGTCTTATTATCTGAGCTCGGCCCATTGTGGAGTCACCGCACTGAGCTGGCTTTCCCTGTCGGACCCCAGGAGCTCCCTGTGTATCCAACAGGCCCAGCTTCCCTCCCCTTTCCCTGGGGACATGGTCGCACAATGAACGTCTGTATTGAGATTCTGGTCTTGGAGGTGCCAAGAAGCACAAGCCCTGGGGGAGGGTCAGACAAGGCCAGACCTGCTGCAAGCCTCCCTCAGGCGACACTTACCATGCTGTTTTAGAGAGGGACTCTATGAAATCCGAGTGGAACAAGCGAATTGGCCGGTCCACAGGCTGATGCACCCACTCATCATATTTCTCCCCCAAATGGCCCACCTGCCAGAGCAATGGTTTGTACCAGTCCACGAGATCCTAGGGGAGCAGAGAACAGGGGGCAAGAACCTTTAGAACCAAGTCGCTAAGCCATTTTACATTCCTCACCTAGCACAATCCCTTACTGAGTATTACTGGGTGATGTCCATATCTCCCATGGAACATCAGGGTGAGCCAGACAGCTTATTCAACCTGCATCCAAGAACTTCTCCCCTATACAGAGCAACACCTAAGGGGCTTTACCCAGGCTCAAGGTTAAGATTGCTACATTAATATGAGCTAGGACACTTCCCCAGGCCGGGGAGCTGACCGGCTATGCAAAAATTAAAAACAGTAACATTGTATGTCCATCATAGACTGAGCTGTTTGGTTCAAGGAGCTGAATCTATTAGAGTTAGGTGGGAAGAAAGGACCTCTTTCTTCACCCTACTCCCCCTGCCCCACCAGCGACTCCTGCAGTGAAGCTCTCAATTGTTGGTAACCCAGGGGTCACTTTCATATTCAATTTTAAAAGCTGGCACCGAACTACCACAGAACTTTCATCCCTCTGCACAAACCCCCAGTGGCTGCAGAGGGAAAGACTAGGGGGTTCGTAAGCCCAGAGGGTGCAGGAGAGATATCGTACTGCTGGCTAAACGATGGCAGCACAGAATTACAATCAGCTCTCAGTATTGGAAATGGTGAGTGCTGCTCACTTTAATACTCATGTTATTATTTGAGCTCCTCTGTGGGCCAGAATTTTTTTCTCCCTAGCATTAGAAGTATGGAAGTGTCCAGAGAGTTTTTTGTAAGACACTGTGTTTACCTGCACTGAGATATATGAGAGACACACACACCCCCTCCCTCGCACTGTGATCAGACAGGCAGATCCCTGTGGCAAGCCGGCCCCCTAAATTATGCAGCAAAGCCCTCTGAAGCCCTTGGGGGTTTGTGCAGAAGGATGAAAGTTCTGTGGCAGTTGGTGCCAGCTTTTAAAATTGAATATGAAAGTGACAACTGAGAGCTTCACTGCAGGAGTCGCTGGTGGGACAGGGGGAGTAGGAGGTTTGGCAGCTGGGTGGGGGACAGGGAAGACAATTTAGGGTGGGGATGATCTGAAGTGCTCTGTGCTGGCCTGATGTTGCTTTCCCTGAAGTCAGTGGAGCCAGAGCTCACTGGAGGCTGAGCACTTACAAATGCCCTCACCCTTGCTTTATCACAGGCAGTGAGTACAGGAGACCAAGGTATCGTGGCTAGATCGCTGGGGCTGCTCAGGTTCCCTTGCTGATTCTCTGTGCCAGGAGGTGCTGCACACCATAATCCTCCGAACTGTTTGAATGCCCGGATCTCACAGGAATGATTACACCCTGGTTTACGCTCTCCTAAGCGAGCTGTGCTGTGCTTTCACTCAGAGATGACACTGCAGCACCTGCCAGCTCCTGCTGTCCATCATGCCATCCTAGTGCTGCACCGGAAGTGAGCAGGAGACATGTGGGAACGGGGTGGACCAGCCATTCCAGGCTGCCACACACGAGAGCAGCTTACTCTGCAATGTCTTCATTCCCCCTTTGCAAAGATATTTGGTGCTTACCAAGAGCAGGCGAGGGACACGTTCGGGTGGTATTGCACCAATTGGTGACTCCAGATGAACAATTACTGAAAGGACAGCTGGAGTGTGAGCTCCGGTGGGCGAGGAATGGAGCACAGCAGGGACAAGAGGCAGAAAGGGGAGTAGTGATTTTTTACGTCCTGGGTGAAGAGACTGTAACAGCCATAGTGGAGTCACTCAGGCAGCCCTGGGTGTGCTCTACCACAGCACTGAGAGCCAGAGAAAGAAACACGTTAGTGCAGAAAAATCCGACTGTGTCTGAGAAACTCTCTCCGCATGGCATAGTCTGAGCAGCCTGAGACGGCAAGGAAACCCCTGGGCCCTTGAAGCCATCCATGCCCCCTGCAGAGGCATTTCTGTACCCTGGGCGCTAATATAGACCACAAATTGGAATTCCAGGAGATCTGACAAACAAGACTGCAGCTGCTTCACGATGGCAGGCGGCCCACTGGCTGCATATCCAGACCCTGCCTGCCTGGGCACAGTTGAGGAAGTACCCCTTCACATAGAATCATAGAATATCAGGGTTGGAAGGGACCTCAGGAGGTCATCGAGTCCAACCCCCTGCTCAAAGCAGGACCAATCCCCAACTCAGTCATCCCAGCCAGGGCTTTGTCAAGCCTCACCTTAAAAACTCCTAGGGAAGGAGATTCCACCACCTCCCTAGGTAACGCATTCCAGTGTTTCACCACCCTCCTAGTGAAAAAGTTTTTCCTAATATCCAACCTAAACCTCCACCACTGTAACTTGAGACCATTACTCCTTGTTCTGTCATCTGCTACCACTGAGAACAGTCTAGATCCATCCTCTATGGAACCCCCTTTCAGGTAGTTGAAAGCAGCTATCAAATCCCCCCTCATTCTTCTCTTCTGCAGGCTAAACAATCCCAGCTCCCTCAACCTCTCCTCATAAGTCATGTGTTCCAGTCCCCTCATCATTTTTGTTGACCTCTGCTGGACTCTTTCCAATTTTTCCACATCCTTCTTGTAGTGTGGGGCCCAAAACTGGACACAGTACTCCAGATGAGGCCTCACCAATGTCGAATAGAGGTGAACGATCACGTCCCTCGATCTGCTGGCAATGTCCCTACTTATACATCCCAAAATGCCATTGGCCTTCTTGGCAACAAGGGCACACTGTTGACTCATATCCAGCTTCTCGTGCACTGTAACCCCTAGGTCCTTTTCTGCAGAACTGCTGCCGAAGCATTCAGTCCCTAGTCTGTAGCAGTGCATGGGATTCTTCCTTCATAAGTGCAGGACTCTGCACTTGTCCTTGTTGAACCGATTTCTTTTGGCCCAATCCTCTGATTTGTCTAGGGCCCTCTGTAGCCTATCCCTACCCTCCATCGTATCTACCTCTCCTCCCACTTTAGTGTAATTTGCAAACTTGCTGAGGGTGCAATCCACACCATCCTCCAGGTCATTTATGAAGATATTGAACAAAACCGGACTGAAGAGCTCTGCCTTGGTACACGCAGCGGGGTTGCAGAGATGCAATCTGTGCAGTCAAAGGGCATGTCTACGTGGCAAAAAACAAAACAAAACCCATCCCAGTTGCAGTGAGTCTTAGATCCCAGGTCATCTGCCTGGGGCTCATGCTATCGGGCTAAAAATAGCAGCAGAGCTGCTCCCGCTCGGGCTCTAAGTCCCACCCGCCTCGCTGGGTTTCAGAGCCTGAGTGGGAACGGCTACGCTGCTATTTTTAGACCTGTAGCAAGAGCCCGCAGCAGCTGACCTGGGCTCAGACTGGCTGTGGTGGGGTTTTGGGCAGTATAGATGCGCCCAGAGATGCTGCAAGTCAAGTTTGCAGGTTTGCTTCCAGAGCAGCAGCCTCAGAAGGGGCCAGTGGCTCTGACATTGGAGCCTCCTTTTCCGGCTCTAGGAGCTGGGAAGCCTGGCACACACCCGCTCCAGGCACACCTTAGCTCAGAGCTGCCAGGTGTGCTATACGCACAGGGTTCCAGGGCTGCCCAAATGAGTCCTTCCATCCAGTCCCTCCCACGGTTGCACAGTGGCCCCTCCACATCCTGCTCCACTGACACGGACAAGGTGCAGGCAGCATGCCCAGAGCAACGTCCTTGTGCACAGACACACTCCATATGTCTGGCTAGGCCGGAGGGCTCTGCCTGGGTCACCCTGAGATGCCCATATCTAGTTGGGGCAACTAGATTAGGCAGTGCAAGCGTGCAGCGGTTTCTTCTGTGGGACTAATGCATCTCACAGCTGCAGGGTGTTTCTAGATGGCAGCCCAGTAGCACACGGTCCCACCCAAAGCCAGCAGCAGTTTCATGCGTTAGCCAATTCTGTTATCCTTTGTGGTATTTGGGTCAGGGCAAGGAAGCACAGGTGGCTTGATGGTGCCAGGTGGGAGGTGGTGGAGGCCCACTGCACGTCAGTGAAGCCAACCACGATGCTAACCCTCTCTCCCACAAACAGCAGGGTGAGCCAGATAACCTGCGGTGCTCATGTGCAAACACAGCAATGCCTCAGGCGCTTTCCACAGGCTCAAGGTGAAAGCTGCTGGATCACTAGGGGCTGGAGCACATTTCCAGGCATCCAAACCCTGACAGGGCAAGGAAACAAACTGTCAGCAAAGGTGCCAAGAGCAGCCTGAGATGTTTCATTTTAGAGACACTTGAAGCAGTCAGCAGCCAGCACAACTTGAAAGAACCTCTTCTAGTGACCATTAGATTGGCCTTCCGGGACCCCAAGGAGAAGGAGCTTACAGCATTCCCTAGAGTTTGTAGTTTCTTGACTGCAAAGAGCTCCCAGCACATTTGCTGAAGGGACAGGGTTTGTTCCCCGAACTGTAGCTATAACTGTGTCGCCCAAACTGAAGGGCGCAAAAAAAGGTTACACATGCCAGAAGCAAGTGCCATGGGATTCGCTTCCCTCCGTGTGAGCGACAGGCTCCCTTTCTGAGACACACCAGTAGTCAATAAAAGAGCATGTGGAGTAGAGGTAACTTTGGGACTCTCAGGAGAGGAAGAGTCGAGCTGCCAGCACCCGTTTCTGCCTGCTGAAGAGAGCTGGTTAATGAAGCCGCCTGGCTGCTGACCATGACTCATGGTACTGACTGTGTGAAAGGCAAGTCAATCTAGGGAGATAAATATCGCTTCCTCCTTTATCCCTCCCATGCCTCAGGACAGATTCTGCTTCGGCCCAGCTACTTGGCTAGGCATTGCTCAAGGAAGTCAGAGTGTCGCTATGACAACATGGCATCCAAGCCATGTTATGAGTCATTTGGCTTATCTGATGGACTGTAGTGTCACATACCAGCTCATTACAGTGCCTGCCTGTGCCACTCCCCAGGGCGCCCTGGGTTGTGAGCATAGGCGGCAGATATTGTAGGCTGGAGAAGTCTGTGCTCCCCCAAACAGCCTGGTGTGGCCCTGCTTACGCTCCATCCCCAGGACTCCTCCTGCCTGTTGTTCCCTTCTGTTGGCAAG